CCTTTAACAATTTTTATCAATTAGTTTGTAGTTTAATCTTTAAAACTTTGGTCACATCAATTCATGATGTCAGCCCTTAACAAAAGGATACATCCAACGAAAATGGACAGGACCACACAAACGCACCTCTCTTGCTAGATGAATTGGTAAATGTATCATTATATCAAAAAATGATGGTGGAAAAAAGCGTTCAAGTTGACACAAAGTTTCACTGATCTCATATTCAAGGCCCAACAGCTTTTCACTATCAATTGCACGTTGACATAATGTATTGAAGAATCTTGATAAGCGAAATATCGCTTTCCGAGGTCCTTTTGGTAACAACCCTCTTATAGCAATTGCCAATAGTTGTTGCATTAGGACATGGTAGTCATGTGATTTAAGACCCATAATTTTACACTCTTCCAGTGTTATACAATTCCCAATGTTTGAGCAGTAACCATCAAGACCTTGAAATCATATAACCTCTTGCAAAATTTCTTTTTTTTCAGACTTTCAAAATGTATGTGGTGCTGGTGGGAGGTATGTACACTCTGCTTCCACGTTGTTCTAGATGTAAATCGCTTCTAATCCCAATATCTTCAAGTCCTTACGAGCATTTATGCCAGCTTTTGATTTTGCATTGTGCAATAGAGTGCTTATAAGGCTCTCACAAATGTTTCTCTCTATATGCATTACATCTAAGTTATGACGTAGCAGAAGTTCCTGGGAATAAAAACATACAAATACTAAGTAAACATGACAATTACATCTAAACAATATTTTAAAATATCATATAACGAAAAAAGAAGGCTAACAATATTTTAAAATATCAGTAAACATGTAAACAATAGTATTACAGTTATTTAGAGATAATAACTAATTTATGACGTTCGCTCAGTTGTACTTAAACTAATTATACATAAAATAATAAATTATTCTTGAAATTCCTCTAAAAAAATATTCTTGAAATTAATATTAATAGTACGTTAGAAATGATAAATAGATTTACTTAATAGATTATTAATTAAATCGAATACAAGGCCCAGAATATATCTAATGACCCTTTCATAAATGGTAGGGTCACCTTATTAATTTATTAAGCTCATATAAGGAGTGAGAATTGAACAAATATGGTGTTGGACCAAAGGTAAATAAAAAGTGGGAATCCAATAAACATGTGGGGGCTCAGAAACTAGTTACACTCTCCGTCCTGCTGGAGTTTGCGAAGTTGACTAACACTAGAATTAGGTAGATGAAAATAGTAACTTTGATTGGACACTTATGTCTCGCTCTTATAATTCCACGGACACCACAAGTAAAAATTAAAAACAAGTTTTAAAATGATTACAAAGTACAAGAGTAAGTGACATGCCGACAAAAAGTGAAAAGATTGTACGGAGTAGTTTATAGGCTTTACAAGTCCAAAATTAGCAAAATTAATTGGATGGAAACTTTACAAAAGGCATACAACATTCTACAAAAATAATTGCATTTTCAACTTTTCCCTCCACAAACAACCTTAGAGTCACATTCGCTTCAGCTACCTACAATACTTATCTTTCCTGTCTCGCAATACTCCTTCCACACCCACTGAAGAAATGGATTTAAATATTTCACCCTCCCCTTGTACAAAGCTGGTACTTTACACTAGCCCACCTTTGACTTTCTCAATGTATGAATCTCCTCCTTCTATGCCTAGCCCACTTTTGACTTTATCAGTGTGTGAATCTCCTCCTCCTGTGGCTAAGGAAACACAAGAAAGACAAATCAACATTCCCAAGAAATACACGGTGCTTAGTGATCATGTGAGAAAAAGAGTTGTGGACCTTTTAGCTCAAATCTAACAATGACAAAATTAGTAAAGGCATAATAAATGCTATAGCAGCTGAATTAAATGTATGCAAAAAACATAATGTTCTAAATTTGGAAAAAAGTGAAGATACAAATGCAGTTTGGAGTAGACATGAATGTGCAGGAAATTAAATGTAGTATTTAATTTTATATTAATGTTGTAATTAATTGGTCATTATTTTTTCACAATTACCATTTGTAAACGCCTATAAAATGCAAGTTGTAATTCAAATTGAGACAGATATGTTATTTTTGACAACTAAAAGTTCCTTTGAGCACTTTCCATTTTCATTCTTACTATTTCATGCTAGAGTATTCTATTGTAGCTTTCCTAAAAGCTTACGAGCGTCCATTTTTAGATCAACAATAAGAAACAGTCTCTTCATAAATTTAAAAGGCCATAAAAATTGATAAGTGGACATACATATACAATGAGTTTAAATCTCATATCCAGTGTTGCTTTCATATGAGATTCCTACTTTGATGACATGATTTTCAAGTCCTGTAACAATCAATCTAGTTTCATTACATAGTTCTTATGATTGGTTAATTTTCTTACCAATATTATTTCAGTCACAATTTTAAGTCATACCTTGTGATTAGGAAGACCTATTGTTCTTAAGGAACACTCCAACGACATCCGACTTGTCCCCCCTGCGCCACCTATTGACGCGGAGAAGAAGTAGGAACACTCCAATTTTATGACCTCCATTGATCCCACCTCAAGGATTATGGTCTTGAAGCCGCAAGAGAAACCGGTCTCGCAGTGCTGTTTGTTGCTCCTGCTACCGCCTAGGACTACAACGTTGATAAGATTTGCTGCGGCCCAACGATGATGGCGCCAAGCGTTGTAGAGGGGTCCACAATAACGAATTTCTACAATTGCGGAACCACTTGTGCAAACGGCACTGTCACTGCATCCCTGTTTTGGAAAAGCTGATTGCGGAGAACTGGGAAATTCTGCTGGATTTAGTCGCGGAGATCCACAATAGTTGGAGCAACTTGTTTGCCCTTAATAGCCCTCCGCACGCCAGATGTGGTGGCGGTCTCCACATAAGGCTTTGGTTGAGCCACCGAAGCTTTTGCACAACGGTTTCTGGGTACTCGCTTGTTCTCCACTGTTGTTTTTGAAAACTTGATATGGAATAAGATCTAAAAATTTGGGAGGATCTGATTTTTTTTAAAATAAGATCTTAAATTTGGGAGACTTATTTGATGTCACTGTTCAAATCTCAATGATAGCACCAAAATGATGGAGTTTTGACCCTGTAGTGGACGGAATCTAGGGAATTAGAGGCTGAAGAGTGCAGGGTAAGACCGAGTAAGAAATTGGGCAGAGTAACAATAAGTTTGCACGAAAAGCTGGATCGAATCCCATTCCACATGTTGGAGGGTGATACTTATACTAATGATGAGAAAATACTTGGCACACAAGTAAAAAATGTTATTCTATTATGGTGAAGACACATATATTACTTGGCTAACAAGAAGAAATGTACTCATCTAATAAGATGGCGGCACATGTAAGGTTGATTGGAGAGGTATTCTGGACAGTTGGCTAATTGGTACTGTGTGCAATAGAATTGTGCTTGTACATTAAAACACATGTGCACGCCACATCAGTAAATGTGGAATATTCTATGTAATAACTGTCAGAGTGATGTGGCCTTTGTATAGTTGTCGCGTTTGTGATGTGGTAATAACACTGCCCGATGTTGGACCGCTGATTTTGTCTAAGTCCAGAAGTGGTTGGTGAGGCCCCGAGCTTGGCCGATGAGATTGAGCTTGGGTTCAGTATACTTATTTGGAAGGGAGCAACCTTGGCTTGCCGCTTGTTTAGTGTAAATGGTTCCTTTGTTCCGTTGATTTTATCGAAACGTCGGTTGACTCTGACCCCGGCTAGGATGCAGGAATCGATGCTGACATCGACCTCAGATTTAGTTTTGACCTTATCTCGATATTCTGGCAGCCCAATGTTTGACTGATCTCGGGTGGGCCGAGGTTGCCCTCAGCAGAATAATGACGTAGCGTTTCTAGAGACTTCTTTGTTCCTCGATGTTGACACCCCTAGGGTATGCGAATATACTCCATCAATGATGTATCCGCATAAATTGTCATTTCATTCATCTATAGTTGATTTAAGCTTGGCATACAATTTCAAGATGGATTCTTTTGTCTAAATTTGTCATACCATTTTATAATTTTAATTGCTCACAAATTGTAATTTCTTGAACTACATTTTTGGTAAGTGTCGATGGTTAATTAAAATAATGGTACTTTAGACATTTATTTTACATATCACATGCAAAGCTATATTTTTCGATCAACCATTAAGACTTTGGATGTATTTTAAAAATGAAATACACATCTAATTAAACTATTTATTCATATTCTGCATGCGAAATGTTTTATGTAAAGAAACAAACGCTCCCTTATTGATTTCTTTGACGAGCTGCTATTGTAAAAAAAGGATGACACCCATCCATCAGGCCCCCAGCACCGCCCGGATAGTTAGATGAGAGGATGTACGAGCTGATATTGTACACATGCAGGGGCGGAGCCAGGACACTAGGTCGGACTGGACCGTTACAAAGAATTTTTTTGGAAAAAAATTTACACTGAATTTTTTACCTTAAAAATTTAGACATTTTTAAAATTTGGGCTGGGCCATGGCCAGGGATGGGCACCCCCTGTCTACGCCCATGTACACATGTAATTAGGGGCATGTACAATTTATGTATTAACTTGTGGACAAATGTGGAGCCCATTTGGTGGCCTCTTTTTTCCTCTTATCAAGCTTATTAGCCAGTTTTTCATTAAATACATAATTTTTTATTTCGCGCGTTGAATTGTGTTATACGGAGTAATAAGAAAAGGCAAGACATAAGTCTCTTTTCTGGTTGTATTGGATGAAATTACTGTAGAGTGTCATTTTAATTATTTTTTCATATAAATTTTTATTTTATTTATTTATAACAAAAATTTTAAATATAATATTTTCATAAATTAGTAGAATCAGCCAATACAATCACTCAAACCAAAACTACATAAATTTGAGCAGAATCAACATATTCAAACAATTTGAGTGTTACCAAAATAGTTTCTAAATTTTTAAACTACAAAGCATTGCCTCGAAGCACCGGATCCCGTCCTTCTCGTTCCGATCCATAACCGTCCTGAAGTTCCATATACGCGAAACGAACGGTGACGATTTTCCCTAGGGTTTTTGAGCAGCGGGTACCAAGACCTGACTATTTAAACCTCACAGTTGCATTCTGGCCGGTTTGCGGTGCAGTTTTCCTGCCCTCCCACAAAAAAAAGTTTGTTTTTCCTCTCATCTCCACCATTCTTACTTTTATTCACATAAAATATATACTAAAATCCCCAAAATATTCTCCGCCAATTTCTGTAACTGATTTCGGCGCTTGTATCATCAATTGACTGGTTCATAGTTTTAGTGGAGGAGAGGGAAGAGATTCATTGAGGCCGATTAGGAAGAATGGCTCAGATTCAAGCTCAGCACCAGACTCAGGCGGCGGGATCGAATGGAGTGGCAGCGCCGATCGCAGGAGGTGTTTCCGCCGTCGCTGCTCCCGGTGGTGGTGCCTCCAACCAGTATGCCGCCACTTCGCTGTATGTTGGTGACCTGGAATCGAACGTGTCTGACTCGCAGCTCTTCGAGCTGTTCAGCCAGGTCGGACAAGTTGTTTCGGTTAGGGTATGCCGCGACCTCAGCACTCGCCGCTCCCTTGGCTATGGCTATGTTAACTTTGCCAACGCTTCGGATGGTTTGTTACTTCGTTATCTTCTTAAATATTGCTATGCTATTTCCCGTCACATGTGGTCGGATGTATTGCTGTTCAACCGAGTATTCGTAATACATGTTTACCTGTTTGATTGGGCATGCCTTTGTGTTTCTGGATCTTTACAAATCGGCCTGTAGATAATGACGTTCCTAATTTAGTAATTACGTCTCCCATTTTGGCATTTCATTGAAGAACGTAACACTTTTTTTGTATTCAGCATATTCTGTTTGTTACCCATCTTCTTTAGTATACATGTTAATCTGCTCGTGCGGTAGTAACATGATGGGTGATGTACTCGTAGTTAAAAAGCAGTAAATCCATACCACTATCTTTTTGTGTTGCATGGATTTTGGTAGTTATAACTTTTGAATTTAAAATGTTACCACTTACCCGTCCATCTACAACATTGTCTTTCAGTTGTAAAGGTGCTTTTAAGCCACTCTAGAGCAGCTCTAGATTAGTTCATCTCTTCTAACAAGTGTTCACCTACGATTTTCATCTTAGAATTCTGTAGGTGAAACATCTTTTATAACCCAAACCTATCTGCTTTTCACTGAAGCACATTTCGCACATATATGGAGTTAAGGTGCTCTATTACCCCCCTTGTATTTTTACTCTGGTAGTCCAGTCTAACCATTTTCATTACAAGAGTATGTGTGAATGCATTTGGGCTAGTTTACATACGAATTTAACCTTTGAGTTTCTTGTCAAATATAGAAGCCGATTTAAGAATAGTTTAAGACTAGTTTGATGTTCTCAATTAGGAGGTTTATGTTCTTTTTCCTTTTTTTTTTTCCTGAACAGTGAACACTGACTTTCAATTGATAGCATTGTTTATCAAATTAGTATCATGGTTTCCTGATCTTCTTAAAAACCAGTCCGTAGTGGGATAGATTTTGTATGAGACAATCTTAGGGGGATAGATAAAAAAGAAAAGATGGTACACTTTTAGAGGGATAGAGGGACTAGCAAAAATCAATTCGGTAAAGAATATATGATCCAATAAGTTAACCTTTGGCATGATTTTTTGTTGTCGTAATCAACATTAGATCTAAAAGTCGCCGTTTCTGTAGTTTCATTTATACAGTTTAAGACTATCCATTCATTGATCATTCCTAACATCTTTGACCATATTTTGCAGCTGCAAGGGCAATTGAGCTCTTGAACTTCTCTCCTCTAAATAATAAGGCAATTAGGATCATGTATTCTCATCGTGACCCCAGTCTTCGCAAGAGTGGAACTGGCAATATATTTATTAAGGTAGTTACAATGGGCATAATTTCTGATTCCATGTTTGGATAGTATGTTGAGTATACAAATCTGTATTAATATTGCACCTATACATTGGTTTAATCCTGTTGATGCAGAATTTGGACAAATCTATTGACAACAAAGCCTTATGTGAAACTTTTTCAAGCTTTGGCAACATTCTTTCATGCAAAATAGCTACTGATTCTAATGGCCAGTCTAAAGGCTATGGTTTTGTTCAATTTAGCAATGAGGAGGCAGCTCAAAATGCTATTGACAAGTTAAATGGAATGCTAATGAATGACAAACAAGTATATGTTGGCCCTTTTCTTCGTAAGCAAGAAAGAGAGCCGACAATGGGCAAGATGAAGTTCAACAATGTTTATGTGAAGAACCTATCTGAATCAACTACAGATGAGGATCTCAAGAAAATATTTGGTGAATTTGGGGATATTACGAGTGCAGTAGTTATGAGAGATGCTGATGGAAAGTCCAAATGCTTTGGGTTTGTTAATTTTGATAATACGGATGATGCTGCCAAGGCTGTTGAAGCATTAAATGGCAAGAAATTTGAGGATAAAGAGTGGTTTGTTGGGAAAGCTCAGAAGAAGTCTGAAAGGGAACAAGAACTAAAAAGTAAGTTTGAGCAGACTGCAAAGGAAACAGTGGACAAGCATCAAGGATTAAATCTGTATGTAAAAAATTTGGATGATAGTATAGATGATGACAAGCTCAGGGAAATGTTCGCTGAGTTTGGTACAATTAGATCATGCAAGGTATATTACAGAAGAATCAGATCTGTTTAGCTAGCTTCATGTTAGTTGAGTTATAGTATAGCATTTTAGTGCTTCTATTTTCACAGGTTATGCGTGATCCAAGCGGAATTAGCAAAGGGTCAGGGTTTGTTTCATTCTCTACTCCTGAAGAAGCTTCTAGAGCTGTAAGTTTATGTGTTCAAAAGTGAGTCTATATATTTTTAGATTCTTTTCAAGGTAGAGTGAGCTAAATTAGATACTTTTGGTAATTTGATATAGATTTCTGATATGAATGGACAAATGGTAGTGTCAAAACCAATTTATGTTGCTCTTGCTCAACGGAAAGAGGAGAGGCGAGCAAGGCTGCAGGTACCATGTTCTAAATTCATTACACGACAGCTTGCAATGGCTGTTATTTCACGGCACATAGACTGTAGTACTGGTTTTGTTTTGGATTTCCATTGACGAAGCTTGAATATGACAGTGTTATGAACATATGAATGCAAGAACTTTATTAACTATTGGTCCCACATGAATAAGGTCATTCCCACTTTTAGTGCATGATTATGGGCCTTATGGCTTCCTTGCCACCTTGGTCCTTCTGATCTTTTATCTGGCCACTTTCCTATAGATTTTTGCTGGATTGGTTACCAGAAATGATGAAAAGTTTAAGAATTCTAGTCTTGCAGCAATAGGGAAATTTGCAAGTCCAGGATCAGAAGTGGGAATCATCCAATAATCATGGGACGAAAAGCGGTTTCTGTTCACTCTGAATTTATGACAAATATACACCCTATGTGCTTGCTTTGCAGGCACAGTTTTCACAGGTGAGACCAGTTGTTATGGCGCCTGCTGTGGGACAACGTATGCCCATGTACCCTCCTGGCACAGCAGGTATTGGGCAGCAGGTCTTTTATGGGCAACCTCCACCTGCTATGCTTCCTCCTCAGGTACACAAACAGTTCATTTTTCTTTTGAATATATACCAATAGCTTTTGGAAAAGTTGTCAATTTGTCTCATGTTCATTGTTGACATGTTTGTCAAACATCTTTTTGGACAACATATAACTTTCTGTCTCACAAACACATAATAATTTTACAACAGACCCTACACAACAACTTAAGCCTTTTGGAGTGTGATCGATGTGTAAAAAACATCCAATACATAGGCTAAAAATGGAGAAATCCTTGCAAAACAAGGGCTGTCAATTTTGTGTGCCCCCCCACCCCAGTTTCAATAACCCTAGTTAAATTTATTTAATTTGGCCGTGTATGATAGTTATACCTATTAATATGTATTGTTGATTCCTTCATAATATCTGATCTGAATAAATTGTTTTGTAAAGGCTGGGTTTGGATATCACCAGCAACTTGTTCCTGGAATGCGGCCTGGAGGTGGTCCTATGCCAAATTTCTTCTTGCCTATGGTCCAACAGCAGGGTCAACAGGGGCAGCGTCAAGGTGGCAGGCGTGGAGCGGCACCTGGCCAACAAGCTCAACAGCCCATGCCACTGATGCATCAGCAGGTAGGCTTTGAACTTATTTAAGTGTTTATACCATTGGCTCCATTTGTATATGCCCTTTTGTTTTTGGTATGTCCCAAAATATGAACACATTTTGAAATTGAACTCCACACAATGTTTACTCCCACTTTTTCTTCCTTTTATCTATCACTTTTCATTTTTACATTTTATGTGCACATTTACTTTTTCTTACTTTTTGATGGTTACATATGTCAAATAAGAATTACATATTTCAGCCGTCCCACAAAACGTGACCAAATTAGACTTACACATGGAATAATAAAGTAATAATTGTGTGATTGAGATTTGTATTGACGAGAGAGAAACAACCTCATCCACATATTACTCTAAATGGAAATGAATTTTTTGGATGACTAAATAAGAAAGTTGACAATGTTTTTTAGATGGAGTGAGTATTATTACTATCTTCCCTCAAAAGGTCTTGTTACATGAAGGTACAACTCTTTAATTTTACCCAGGTACAACTCTTGGAAATAATCAGTCCTTGTTTGTGATGCTTTTTTGAAGATTACTTCTAATTTAACCAAACTTTTGTTGAAACTGGACTTTTATGAGGAACATTCAAAGTGGACACTTGTATTCCTTGTGCTGTTGAGTGTTGATGATAGAAAATAACTATTTATTTTTTTATGGGGGAAAAAGATGCATCACCCAAGGGGAGGAAGGATGTACCACCGGTTCCAGTCACATGGTCGCAACGTGCAAGAGGTTCCTGCTGGTGTGGCAGGAGGAATGCTTTCTGCTCCATATGATATAAGTGGTGGGGGGGTCATGCTTCATCGGGAGGCTGTGCCAATCAATGCCCTAGCTAGTGCCCTTGCAAATGCACCGCCTGAACAACAGAGGACTGTAAGCATTTTATTTTACTTGTCTCTGTTCTTTTTTTAATAATAGTATTTACAATCTCTTGCAGTTTAAGTTTGCTTTGATTCACAAGGGTCAGTTTGGAAGATAGAAACTTGTAGGGAACAGAAAAATATGGAAGATTTTTATTTTACTCGAACCCAATAAGGCAACACTTTTCCCTGCTTGTCTATTGAGAAGTGATCCTTTTTTATATTACACAGAAAGCAGAATAGTGCTTTAAAAAACTCTTGTAGACACTCCTTAAATTTGTCATGGACATATTGAAAGTCATTTTATTTATTTATACTCCCTCCGTCCTATTGGACTTTGCCAACTTTCTCTTTTTGTTTGTCCCAAAAAAATTTGCCACTTTCCTATTAAAACAACTAATTTGTGGTTCTGCACATTTCTCTCTCCTCTGCACAAATCTCAACCACACAGTTTTTACTATTCTTATTCCTCACCTACTTTGCACTTAGCAAAGTCCACCTGGACGGAGGTAGTACTATATATGGTTTGGGAAATCTGATGTGTAAATATTTAAAAAATCAATAATTTTAAATTTTCCTTTTAGATTTTCCAATGTAAAACCAAAATTTATTTTACTCACCATCTGAAGTTAAAATTGTGACAGATGTTGGGTGAAAATCTGTACCCACTAGTGGATCAGTTGGAGCATGAGCAGGCAGCGAAAGTGACAGGGATGTTGCTGGAGATGGACCAGACAGAGGTTTTGCATCTGCTCGAGTCCCCTGAGGCTTTGAAGGCCAAAGTTGCAGAAGCCATGGATGTTCTGAGGAACGTTCAGCAGCAGGCAAGCATCAACCCTGCTGATCAACTCTCTTCCCTCTCACTTTCTGATAACCTGGTTTCCTCCTGAGTGCCTTCCAAGAGATTATCTGCTGAGTGCATGCTCTCACGTTACCATCCTTTCGTTTTTTGTTAGAAGTTTAAATGAGATTTTGCTGCTATCCTTTATTATCTATCGTGTTAGAATTGTCTTTTTGACTTTGACATTGCCACTCCATGAAGAGTTTTTGGACAATTGTGCTTAGATACAGCTTGGGTGTATTGCCTTTTCTATCTAAGGTATGAACGTTTTCATGGCACTTGACTTTGAGCTGTATAAGAGTGATATATGGCTCTATAAAACTACTCAGTATAAGTAAAAAATGGGATTCTAATTGTGAAACCCGATTGTTTTTCACATGAATAGATTTCAGAATCTAATTCAAAGATCACAAAAATTCAGTCCAAATGTAATTATCTAATCTAAATATCTAATGATTATTCAATTTGAGTATTGTGTTTGCGATTTCTGAAGTTCGTGATCACAAAAATTTGGAACGAAACAGGAAAATAATTTAAATATCTCAAATTATGAAGGGGTGTGAGATATGTATTGCAAACTTACATGTGTAATACATACATCCTTTGTCTCATTGGACTTTGTCAACTTTTTCATTTTGGTTGTCTAAAAAAATTTTGTCACTTTTCTATTAGAGCAACTAATTTGTGTTTTTTGCACATTTCTCTTTACTCGGCACAAATTTGAATCACGCAGTTTTTACTATTCTTATTTCTCACCTACTTTGTATTTGGCAAAGTCCATCGGGACAGATAGGGGTGGACTCGGGTCGGTTCGGGCTTGGGCCTGGCCGGGCCTCGGTTCATGAAAGGGGAGGCCCGAAACCGGCCCGGGTAACCCCCGGGCCGGGCCGGGTCTCGGTTCAATTTAATTTTTTTTTGGCTTTTCTTAATTAACCCCCAACCCTCCCCCCTCACCCCCCAAATCACCTCAAATGGCGCAAAATATCCAGCCCAACCCAAAAACTTAAAAAAAAATTCAAAAAAAAAGAAGAAAAAAATAAATTGGCCCAGGCCCGAACCGGCTGGGCCGGTTCACCTTTTGAGGGGCCCGAGCCCGCCCGGAACCCCAGCGGGTCGGGCCTATCCGGACCGGTCCCAAGCCGGGCTGGCGGTTTGGGCTGGTTCCGGGGCGGGCCGCCCGGCCCGAGTCCACCCCTAGGGACAGAGGTAGTATATCTTAAATTTAATATAAAAAGTTATGTCAAGATTATGATCATATATATTTTCACAAATACAATTATATGATGTTAGATATATTATTTGAAATACATAGAACATTTATGAGAATTGAATTAAAATTAAATTGTATTTGTGTAATATTATTTATTTATTTTACAAATGAAATTTTATAATGTTAACAACATTCTAACAAGATTTAGAGCATTTTAAATTATGTAATTATTATTCTAATAAGTTTGTATTTGTAAAAAACATATAACCATGATGTGAACATTACTTTTTATCTGAAGTCAAACTATATGTATCACATATGTAAGTTTGATGTACTTATCTTAGACGCCATTAAAATTAGGTATTTAATTTTTTTTCTCATTAAAACCGTGTTCCGTTTTTGTTGTATATACAAATCATAGGCGACTAAGAATATGAAAGAAATGGCTTGAAAATTGAAATGGAAGAGTGTTCCAACAGCTCATCTACCTTTCTATCTCAACCGTTAGTTTGGGGGTGTTGTAGCCTTGTAGGTTGTAGTTTGGCAATTCAAAATGTGGACTGATCACTTCTATGCAATAGACTTGTCAACTTTAGAGCCCGTTTGGCAACACAGTTTTTCGGCTTATTAGGCTTGTCAACTAACTTTTTTACCAAACACGTAATTTTTTCTTTCGCGCGTTGAATTGTGTAATAGACCGAAAAAGTAAGGTTGAAAGTTACTTTTCTGACTGTATTGGTTGAAGTTAATGTAGATGATCATTTTAGCTATTTTTACATACTCCGTATAATTTTTTCTTTATTTTATGAATAAAATATATTTTAAAAATATTTTTTTCTTGAATCAGCAGAATCAGCCAATGCAGTCATTTCAGTCAGAAATTCATAAATCTCAGCAAAATCAGCCAAAACAGCCGATTTTCATGCTACCAAACGGGCTCTTAGTGTTTGTTTTCCCAAAATATTTTATCACTTTCTCATTTTCCATTTAAATTAAAATAATTTATGATTTTGCTTATGTCTCTCTCCTTTGCACTAATTTCTATTACCCAATTTACGGTTAGTTCATATGTAACACAAACTTGACAATGCCCAATAGGACAATGATTATACTTGCTGATGCATATATTAGCATTAATAATTAGAAGTTAGAAATTGTGTCGAAGTTGTACAGAATTGCAATAAAACGAGTTTGAATATGTTAAATTTTTTGTTTAAAAAATCAGGTATTATATTTGCTGATGCTTATTGTTTTCCAATTCTGCTACCCCAATTAGTAAGAGACCATTGGAGCCTATCATCTGCGCACTAATCCTGATGTGGGTGCTGTCTTTTAACTTTTCAACTTCCAATCAATAGGGTTATTAGGTAGAAAAATGCTTGGCGTACAAGTACACAAAATGTGTACACCTTGCAAAACATGGATATAAATGAACAATTAAAAGTACATCTAATTATCAATAATTTCATATCTTTAGGTAGAGGCCATATAAACATGGATTATCAGCTGCTGACACTTGGTTCTCCATCCAACTGGCGTTTTTATACTTCGTATAATCTTAACCCACCCCAGGCATTACACTAATTAAGACAAATAATACGATTCTTTTCTCACCTATTAAAGTTCCTACTGCCTGCCACAATCCTCGTGCTCTATATTCATGAGGAGATAAAAAGTGATGCATTAATGTGCACATGAACTTTCATCAAGCCATAGTTACTAGTTTGACCATAAGTTTAGTTTAGTCCTCTCTACATGATAGCTATTGGCAAAAGTGAACAGAGTAGCTTACACATTAATACCCAGTTTCGTAATGCTAAACTGTCTGAATCGATTGATATATTCTAACTAAATATACAAAAAATTGTGTTGTATATACTCCCCCGTGCCTTGTTAATTAGTCATCTTTGATTTATTCAGTTAAAGATGCTAGACTTTGATCAAATCATATATTTATACACGAAAATATTTATAGTTTTTCGTTAAAAGTACAATCATAAAAGTATAAAATTTATAAATTTCGCCAAAGTATAGTTATTAAAACGGTTGATCAAAGTTTATCATCATTGATAGAAAAAGTCAAAGTTGGCTAACTAAAAAGAGATTGAGGTAGTATATTTTATTAATAAAGTAATTAAAAATTAGTTGAGAAATATATCTCCCGATCATTTTCCCTTGCTAGCCAAAATGATTTAACCATTTGTTAAATTTGGTCGGTGCCTTTCGTAATTAAAAGGATTAAAATTTCGAATACTTTCAAAAATATTACTAACATAAATCATATTTAATTACACAAATATGACTAATAACTACTATAATGTAATGTCATAATAGTTTAATTTAAAATTGAACATAAGTTGCTATCATTTCATTACTACTTTAGTCACTTGTCGTATTTTTTTAAACACGGTTATTATGGCACTCAACAATTTCAGTAAAAATTGGAACCTATATCCATCTTTTTCTTTTGAAGCCAAAATGATAGGATTTGTTTCTTAAATTTCATCTCATTATTCACTCAATAAAAGGTAATTCTACCGTTGGGACAAAAAGAATATCAAAACTTTGACAATGTGTATTTTTTATAAATGTTTCAAATTGCTCCTAGAAATAATTCCAAACAACTCTATTTTACATATAATGATAAGATATAGAATAAATATCTTTCGGATTTACTAGTTATCTCAACCCTCACTAAGACTGGGATATGATGCAAAATAAATTTATGTAATTGATATTAAAATGATAAAGTTAAAATAAAGTAAGACGGTTTAAAACCAAATATTTGATCAGATTTATTTTGAGACAGTGAAGTACACCGTATACTTTTATTGTAACACGTTTTGTTATTGAATTAATTATGCCATTCAATTCGTATTGGAAGTTTGTGAAAAGAAAAGCCTTCTACACAGAGCCAGGTATTGGCAAACGGGTCGGGTGAATAAGCGCTCGCCGCGTGTTTAAAAAGGCAAGCTAGCCACGTTTGACCTTACAAGTAGGAAATGTCCAGGCATGCCCAAATGGGTGTACCCGTTACTGATTCGGTTTGCTAAAAACGTTGGAATAAGTATGAAATCTTGAAATGTTACCATAAAATAAAGGGTTATTATACAAAAAATAACCAAGATAAAAGCGCAAATTATACCGTATGACCGGTATACGGTGAGCACCATATACCGGTCTTTATTTTTGGCAAGCAGCGTATATGGTATTTTGGACTTCTTTATTTTTTATTCTTTTTGTTGTTAAAAATTGTAATAACTTTTTTATTTCATATCTGATTTTTATAAATTTTATATTAAATTTTGTTATTTTTCATGATCTATCAAATGAGACCAATATTGCTTATGTAACTTTAACAAATTATTGAACTATTATATAAATGATTATTGGATTATAAGGGAAACCGAACTAAATTTAATGCAGAAAAATAATTGTGTAAATCACAATTTATCTTAAAATTGTGTATATAAAAAATTTATTGTATTATGTATTTATACATGTGAGTTACATATTTTTATACGTAAAACTACATATTTGTACACGCAAAGTTACTGTTGGATCGATTCACCCCTTAGACCAACAATTACATATTTATACACACGAGTTGCATTTGGCCTGCCTGAACGCGAGTTACATATTTTTACACGTAAAGTTACATATTTTTACACGTAAAGTTACATATTTATACACGTGAGTTACATATTTATACACACAAGTTGTATTTGACCTGTCTGAACGCGAGTTACATATTTTTACACGTAAAGTTACATATTTTTACACGTACAGTTACATATTTATACACACGAGTTGCATTTGGCCTGACTGGACGTGAGTTACATATTTCTACACGTAAAATTACATATTTTACATAGGTTAATATAATAGTTCGATAATATGTTAAAATTACATAGGCAATATTGGTCTCATTTGAAAGATCATGAAAAATAAAAAATTTTGATATAAATTTTATAAAAACTAGATCACAAATGAAAAAGTTATTATAGTTTTTAACAATAAGAGAAATAAATAAATAATAGGACCCACTATCATTTTAATACATGTTTGGGAGCTTCCAAAGATGCCTAAAACCGTATGCCCGTATACGATGCTCATCGTATACCGGTCATACGGTATAACAACTGAGATAAAAGTATGATCCGTTCGTTTCTGTTCATAACTATGCTACTGTAGAGCAAGTGACA